AAAAAAAAATTCTTAGAACTTATGCGCCAATGTAATAGATTGAAAATGGCCGGATTTCGGCTACGTAACCACAATGGGAACTCTTGGGCACATCGTCTATATCCTGTCGCTTCGAAAAAAGTATCAGAACCGTTGCCAGGGAACGTATTCGAAGATAGCTACCGGAGGCAGGAACTTAGCTAGAATCGGTAGCCGAATCCGATTTAGGAATTCTACTTCCACAGCGCGCAGGCAAATCACTGGATCCTGTCGTACATCTTTGACCTGGGTATTTCTAAACTAGAAAATCAGATCATCATCTAGCCAATAGTGAAAGTTTTCGAAATCTAAAAATACTAATTGTTTTTGTAATTGAGAATAGTTCAATATTGTTTAAAACAAATGAGTGACTCATTTCAATGAAATCTATACTTATTCCTACTTCACACTTTTGTTTCATTCCAGCACCACTACGTGCAAGTTTGACTGATATGCATCCAAATACAAAATGGATACAGAATGGTCTCGCTATCGCTGGAGGAAATGGATCAGGCAGTGAAATCAATCAACTCTGTAACCCACACGGTTTATATGTCGCTGAGGATCAAACTATTTATATTGCTGATTGGAGAAATCACCGCATTGCGGAATGGAAATGTGGTGCAACGACTGGTCAAGTGGTTGCCGGTGGAAATGGAACTAATCAGTTAAACTCCCCAGTAGATGTGATTATCGACAAAGAGAGAGACAGTCTCATTATCTCCGATTTCGGTAATAAAAGAGTTGTTAGATGGCCTCGTCGAAATGGTACTCGTGGAGAAACTATCATTTCAAATATTGGTTGCGTCGGTTTGACAATGGATGAGAATGGATCTCTCTATGTCGCTGACGTCGGAAGACATGAAGTGAGACGATATCGAATTGGTGACACTGAAGGAACAGTGGTTGCAGGTGGCAATGGACAAGGAAATCGTCTTGATCAACTCTCTAATCCCCATTACGTATTTGTCGATCGAGATCATTCAGTATGCGTGTCCGATAATGGAAATCATCGAGTGATGAAATGGGAAGAAGGTGCAAAGCAAGGTATTGTCGTAGCCGGTGGTCAAGGGCAAGGAAATAGTCTTACACAATTGAACAGACCTCTGGGAGTCATTGTCGATCAATTGGGTACTGTCTATGTAGCTGATCAAGGCAACCATCGAATCATGCGTTGGTCAAAAGGAGCCACACAGGGAAGTGTCATTGTTGGTGGAAACGGCGCTGGAGCACAGTCGAATCAACTCAGTTGTCCCATGGGTTTATCATTCGATCGACATGGCAATCTCTATGTCGCCGATAACTATAATCAACGAGTACAAAAATTTAATATCGAATAAACTCAGTACAATGATTAATTTCCTTTTGGTTCTATTTCTCTTACAAATAAATCGCAATTAAATAAAAAAGAATTCATAGCTATTCTATTAGTACGCGCGGGCGCGACCAGGAACCATCCTGGTAGCGGCGTAACCAGAAATTTAAGGGTGATGGGGCTCGGCCCCAGACTATGTCTAGTCTTTTATAGTCACTCACAAATTTATATGTGATGAGATTGATATCAATAAACTCTCAAGCATAACATCAGAATCAAGTTAAAATGCTATGTTTGCACATCGACTAGTCTTGATGAGTGACCAGTTAATTTCAAGATGTGAACAAAATACGTTAACGACAAAAAAGATAATTTTTATTTCAACATAATACGACTATTTTTATGAGTATCTGAAAATGTATCAATAAGCTCTTCAAAATTTACATCAATATCACGTTCGACAGCTAATAAACATAAATCACTTAGACGATCATCACTCATTGTATTTCTCACTGTTGTTTTGATCAGTTTCATCTTCGAAAAGGTGCGTTCACAAGTCGTCGAAGAGACAGGAATAGTAATCGCACTTTCAATAAGTGCAACAAGTGTTGGAAAAGCTTGTCTAAAAGGATATAATTCTTGATATAAATCAATTATAGTAGCTAAAGATTTTTTTTGCAACATAGGTTTCACAACAACTAATTCATTAGATAAAACACCACGATCAAAATTTAAATGATCAGCAAATGGTTTTAATGAATCAAAATGTAAAAATGTATCACTATCAGGACATAATGATGATACACTAGATAATATATGTAAATTTTTTGATGAAAATCGATCTTTTAATTCTACTAATTTATTATCAATTAATTGGTAATAAATATGTGTTTTATAATATTGTTCATTTAAACTATCATCACGTTGTCCTACTGTACTAATAATAATTGAATCTTTAAACCTGATAGAAACAGCTCGTTTTCGATGTTGTCTTGGTCTATCATTGAGATTTATGCTGTTTTGTTGACAAAAAATAGCAATTGTTTGGAACAATTGTTCAAAAGATTTTTCATCTCGTGATAAAGTAAGTTCTTCAATTATTGATAAAATTAATTGTTGTGCTTTACCATAGTCAAGTGTCTTAGCTATAAAATAAAGACAAAATATAATCATCTACTCTGTTGTTCTTGCAATTCATTTAATACCTTTTGATTTATCTGATAAAATTTTTATTGGACCTAACAACTTGTGCAAGATGAATAATGTAACCACAAACAGCGGCTCTTGAACCATCACCACTAATCCTCTTACATCAACAGCACGATCTCCACCATCTTTAATTAAATCGTCGAAAGCCAAAATAATAACTTGATAATTTTTTAAAATAGCATCAATGGACGTCCATCTAGAATCCCAACGTATATGTGCCCAAAGTTTTAGATTTGTATGAACTAAAGATGAAAAAGATTAGTTTAAGCCTTATTGTTTAGCTTTCTTACACAATTCTAATTGATTTTGCGCATCTCGAAAACGTTCATTAGTAACACTTGATGCTGTGAAGTAATTGTGAATCTTTTTTATAACTGAATAAAATTCACTAACATAAGAAACTGATACACATACAGGTTGATTACGTTATTTTTAATAATTTTGTGTCGTTTGCTGGATTTATACAATACATCAAAAAATTTTTATTTCAGCACAGTTGGATAGGGCTTGAGCTCCTCTATCAAAA